TTTAGAAAGTCAAAAACAATCATTACGAGAAGTTGAAATAGAAAATTGTTCTGGTAATTCGGAGTTGGAAGTGCTAAAAAATTGTGAAAATTTAGAAATCCTTCGTATGAGACGTATAGATTATTGTGAAAATGTTCATATAGCGAAGATATTGAAATCAAGTCATTGTAAGCTGAAAACTTTAGAAATTGTTGATTTCCTGCTTGACACATCGATTATAACGCAAATTTTAGAAAAATTTGGATCATCACTACAACGACTAGAACTTGTTTCTGAAAGCCTAGAGATTCAGGATGATTCATTATTGCTGAAAAATATTAAATTCCTCTGTCCAAACATTACATTCCTCAGCATTTCATATATTAAGTTTTCCACTCAACTTATAAAGCTTATTGGTAATTTACAAAAACTTCAATTTCTCACTTTAAGTTGCGAAGTTGATTCTTTTCCAGAGGAAGTGCTTAAAGTGCAACTTAAGCGGTTTGCAGAATCAGTGCCGTTAACATTGCAATATCTTGACACATCTTCTTGGTTAGATTCTTATATTGACATTTGGCTCAATAATTGCAATGCTCCTTTAAAAAAGTTGATAATTTGTAGCCTTGATAACGAGAAACAAGTTAAAGCGTTAATTGAATTTTGCAAACAAAAGAGAACTTTGAATTACGTGGGTATTACAAATAGATATTATAATCTGGACTACAATTTTAAAAAGCCATTGGAAAAATACGTTAAATTGGTACCATCTGAATGGATTATTGTCAATTGTTAATTTTTAAAACTATTTCATCGTATGGTAGTTAGTGTATGATTTGGATAAGTTCTTTGAAAATTAATGGATCAATAATATAGTCGTTTCTTATTAATCTTGAACTATCTCTTTCAGAAACTAGCAAATAAATACTTCAATTACATTAATGAATATTGTGTTTCTAAAGTAAAGTGATTGTAAATTTAAAAATAATTCATAGATATTAAAGTTAAACCTTATGATTTTACGAATCCTTAGAACCGCTTTACTTATGAATTTAAAAATCAAGATAGTCCTACAAATTTTTTAAATCTGCTATTGATAAAACAGAGTTTATCGACCAATCAAAAAGACTTTTAAAATCTGGATCGATAAATGAATTAAAGAGAACAACATTTTTAAAAAGATTGGTAAAATTCGAGTGCATGAACATGTCAGACTTTAACTTTCGTACGAAAACTGTCTGTATTCAAAGATACTTAACTGGAAAATGTCAAATAACATAAGGGCTGATGATATTGTCGAGAGATACTTTTTTCTTAAAGGTGATAAAATTTTTTCTAAACTTTGGCCGGAATTTGATTGACAACTACTTGATTGAATACGATGAATAATTTTTAAATGAATTCTATTAATTAGTAGAAGTTACTTAAAAAAATTTCTATCAGATTGTTGTTGAGAAATTTTCATTCAAAGTTTAGAACATTTTTGCCGCGTCTGAACGCTGATAAAAAACAACTCGAAAGAACTAGTGACATAAATGGAATTCTTAAAACATTCGGAGAACTCAAATAAACAAATAAAGATGGTTCGCGAGGTATGTTATTTTATAAATCAGTGTGTATTTACTGTAACAAATCTTATTACATTGAAAAAAATTTATACTAAATGAATGTTTATGAATAAAACTTAGAAATCTAATTTCATACTCGAAGCATCACAATATTGTAATCATTTTTATCCTTAAAATTTCTTGTCAGTCAACAACACCTCTATTCCATGATGAGAACAAATCCTTTTGTCAAATGCTATGAATTGACGAGATAATCAACATGCCAAAAACTTTTTACTAAAAATTCACGGTTCTAACTTAGCTTAGTCTATCGTTACATTCTGGAAATATTCTTCAGGGACGTAACTCTAACATTTGGTACATTGGTGATCTTCGGTCTTTCCCTGTATGGAGGAATACGTATATCGTGATGCTTTTTGTTAATGAAATTTGATTATGTAGAATTAATGAAAATGCGCTGGAGTAGAAATATATCAAAGAGGCGTAATGCGCAAGATTGGTTTGCTTATTTCAAAGATAAATTTAAAATTTATATATAGTGAAGAATTGAAGTTACTGATCAATACCATTTATTCGTCCAAAATTTACGCTGCTAAAAGTTATAATAACAAACATTTACTTGTCAAAACAATACTGTTATCTATAAATCAAATCAGATAAAATTTGAATTTTATAAATATGTTTTAGATAATATTGATATGTTAAGATTACTCAATTTTCAATAAATATTTTATCTTTTATAGATGAAATTGCATAAGACGAAGAAACCGGATTGATCCTGGTTATGTCTGATGAGTCCGGTAATGCTTAAGGCAAAACTTTGAATTCAAATTTTCACGTATATATGTCATACATCGAAACTAAATTATTGTAGATTTAAATTGTTTATTATTTCTTTTTTTATTCACATTTCAACAATCTCTACCTGATGGTCGAATATCAAGATTATCTCAAGAGCCATAAATAAATGGTCTGGTGATTAAATTCTATCTCTAGACTCAAGTTTAAGCCGTTGTAGTGATAATCCTGACTTTTTTTAAAATTGAAATAAATCTGAACCATCAAGCTCGTTTACAAGATATAAATTTTACAAAGACTGCAATAAATGGTAGTCCATGACTATCGAAAAATTTTCAAATTCTCGCAGTTCATCAAAATCCTTAAAATTTTTGTCAAATTCTTCATCATTTATAGAGTAATAATTCTTTGTAATGATATTCCAATGCGGAGACAAAAGAGGAAGTACTGCTATTAAAGCTAAATTTGCTAATTTTTCACTGATGTTTGTAATCGCATGATTTCTTTGTACTTCATTAGGAAAGCCCACTTGTTTTAAAGTATGAATTTTGGTGGAATTTTTAGCCAAGATTCTTAATAACATAATATACACTTATCAAGATTATTATCACATATTAATTTTATAGTCAATTTTTAAAATAGAGAAAAAAATTGATCATTCTGTCTTAATGAGCAAAAGACCTCTGGTTTAACAATCAATTTAAAAATACGATCTTTATTCTTTGATAAAGTAATGCCACAGGTACTTAACTTTGATAAAGTGTCACCACTATCAACAAATACCTTAATTAATAAATTAGCTAAACTTTCAATCCATATTAAGTTTTTTTTTTTTATAAAATCAATTTTATATAGTTATTGTATAGAATACTATATAAAATTATATATGTTACTTTTTATATGTTAATAAATATAGAATTTGTATAAAATTAATGTAAACTTATATAAATATAATTTTATAAAAAAAAATTATATAAATGTATTATAATTAATAAGTAACTTTTATATGGCATAATATCTAAATAAAATTTTATATCAATTTTCATTTATTATAAAACGCACCAATGGTGGTTTTGCACTATTATAAATTTTATTCTGTTTTTTTTTAGATTTTTATAAGTTTTCAATATAAAAATTTTCAACACAATATTTCATGTTAGTGTTAGTATTTGAGGTTAGCGTTAGGATTTGGAAGGGTTTTTAAGTGTGTAGAGCATTTTTACTTAGAACTAGTGTTACAAATCGAAAATCGCAACTAATCGCAACTAATCGATTGAAAAATTTTTTGGCAACTTATATTAAAATCGAATAAAAATTGAATAATTGAAAAATTTTTGGCAACTTATATTAAAATCGAATAAAATCGAACAATCAAAAAGTTGACAACTAATCGATTGCAAAATTTTTGGCAATTTGTATCACTACTTGCACTGATCAATTAGCCAGTTTTTGAGATAATATATACATAGGTGCGTTTTAGTAAAAGTTTAAATTTTATGTATTAATAAATTTTATATAGGTGACTGATATTTCCACACTCCTTTTTTTAATATTTTCACACCCATGTAGATCCCTTTTTAAAAAACTTTAATCGAAGGTATCTCGACAACCACCAGATCAAATTCGATGAATTTTTTTATTAGAATTCTACAAGTATGCAGAATTCAAAAAAAAAAAAATTCATCGAATTTGTCAGGTGGTTATCGAGATAACTTCAATCAAAGTTAGAGAAAACTCTGCCGCAGCTATTATTTTGATAGACCTTTAGATTTTTTAAAAAAAAAACTTTGATCGAATCGAAGGTATCTCGATGACCACTGGATAAAATTCGATGAAATGTTTTTTATTAGAATTCTACTATCATGTTGAATTCAAATTAAAAAAATTCACCGAATTTGGTCAGGTGGTTATCGAAATACCTTCAATCAAAGTTAGAGAAAATTTTGTCGCGGCTATTATTTTGATAAACGTTTGGATTTTTTTAAAAACTTTGATCGAAGGTATCTTGACGACCACCGGATCAAATTCGATTAAATATTTTTTTATTAGAATTCTACCATTATGTAGAATTCTAATAAAAAAATATCCATCGTATTTGGGCATGTGGTTATCGAGATACCTTCAACCAAAGCTAGAGAAAATTTTGCCGCAGTTATTATTTTGATATTGGCCGCACAAAAAATGCGCGGCAGATCCTCGATTTTGATTGGCTAATGGCGACGGGGACACTTTAAGAACATTAACCTAGTGATCGACAAGCATTTGATAAACATATAATGACGTCATTTGTTTACCAGAATTAAATAAACTGGCCTAAACTATATCCTAAATTAACCCTAAACTAACCCTAATCTAACCCTAACTTAGGCCGAATGATGGTCATGTGATATTGTGATAATCACTGGGTTAACTCTTCTTAAATCTTCCCGGGCGACGAGCAAATAATTAGGCCGGAATTACTCGTAATTTTAATGAAATAGCAGCCGCCCATTAGGTGAAAATTGTTCCCGGGTCAATTTTACTGTAATGCGGGCTTATTTCTTAAAATTTCTATTTTTGTAATGAAAAAATTAAAAGTTAATTTCGGCCAGAAATTAGTAAACAATTATGTAATGCGGGCCAAAATTTTGAAGATCCTTGGCCGTTAGCCAATCAAAATCAAGGATATTGTTATAAGTTAACTTTAAATTAAGCTATATATGAGTACTCAGCTTAAGAGTTTCGTGGCATCATATCACATGTACAAGTGTATAAATCCCGAATTAAGTGAACCGTCGGAGCTAAATTGGATTACAGCTACTTTCATAATTCCTGGGACACCTGATATAAATTGACCGAATGATTTTTCGGCCGATCCGGTTAAGTTATTGTTTCGGCACGATCCATATAATAATAAAAATAATAAAAGCTATTTTGGTATCATAATGATAATTTTACAATCGTTATAACAATAATGTCAA